TAAAATTGTTGATTTAAAGTCCCCACAAAACCTGATTTTTCAGATAGAAGCACATTTACCAGAAGACACCGCCTTTCTCTGCCTGTCATTATGGCTCTGAAGACAATTAACATACAATGAACCTTGGAGAAGTTTCTTCATAGCAAAGGACATCTTGCCCCATTGTGCTAAATCTATATCAATTCCCCCCCCCCCAACTCTGAGCTCTGAAGGCTCAATTTAGCATCCAAAGAATTGTGCTATGTTCTTTCCTTTTAGTACCTCATTACTAACAATAAAGTGTTGAAAAATTGGAGTGTTGGCTGGCACTTTTGCTGTGATATATGGCAGAGCAGAATGCAGAACTTGCTTTTTGTCATCTGCAGGACCTCCAGGTTATTGAGTGTAGATATTTTTCAACTGGAACATAGAAATGGAATAGTCACATCATATGCCCAGTTTATCAAAAATACCTATGACTTCCAGGGGCTCTGCAGGTAACCCATAGGTACTAACAATGCTTACAACAAGGATTGGTGTTTTCCCGTTAGAGAACTAGAAGCACCTTTCAATGTGATTGGCATCTGTCTCCTGGTCCAGCAGTAACAAAAATCATTGCACAAATTCAATAAGGGACAAGAGAGATTTTCTTACGGGTTTTAGCAAGGCTATTTTTGTATTCCATATTTCTCTAAAGGTTTAGTGCGTTTTCTCAAGATATATCCAATCCTGTTCTTAGCATTCTATTCTAGTATCTATGCCTCAGGGAGGGGAAGGAGAGCCCAAGAGCCTTCATCTCTACAGACCAGTGTCAGAAACTCTCAGTCTGTGCTGAATTTGCCTCCAGACGGGAGGGTTATGAGTGGCTTGCACAATGTTTAAAATGATTTGAGCTAGTTGCCAAAAGTTAAAAGCCACAAGATTTTCATGTAAAAAGAAATCTTAATTTTGGCCCTTCTTAGAAGAAATTGAAGTTTTGGCAATATTGAGGCCTGATTTTTCAACATGGCAACAGGGGCAGCCAGTCGACCATGATCCAAGTTGGCATCTAGACTGTACCGTCCCTTTTGGGATTTTGAAAAAGGCACTGCCACCTGGTGTATGAATTATAAGGGTGCCCATTGGAAAGGAACTGGTCGACATTTGACAGGTTGCCAGAGTTGCTACCACTTCCTGGGGCCATTTTCCTCATATGTGATCCTTTAGGGATTTGAGTGTGTGACCACAGCCAAAGGCCTTGGAAGATGCTGCCTGCAGCATACATCCTGGTGAGTGCCGCCACCTACAGGGTTTTTCCCTTTGATTGTTTGCCCACGGAAATGGAGACACAGCATTTGCTGGTGCTGGTTCTCTCTGAGAAGAGTTCAGGATGATTTTGGCAGGATTTAAGTTCAAAGCCTGGTCTCCATATTCTTAAGGTTTGTTCTGCTTCCTGAAACTCCATGCTCTGTCTGCCCCTCCCTCATGGTAATTTGCCATTTCACTAGTGTGACACTGGGAAATGACTCCTTAAAGAATTTTAGACAGACTTCTTGTGCCATCTTTGAATTAGCTGAATCCAGTATCTATCTCTGTTGACAGCTTGCCCTTATTAAATCGTGCCCCAAAGTGAACCCTGCAGCTACTGACAATGGACGATGCCAAGGAGCTTAGGAGCCCCTCTGTGGCCTCAGCAGATCTAAATAATAGTCTCTCGAAGGCTCCCCAAGAGCTGTGAGCTGTTTCTCCTTAGCATTGGTGTGAAAATCATCAAGATCATTTACAAAGTGCGGCTGTATATAATGCTGTATAAGGGGCGATAAATAGAGTTAATACTATACCATCTGAGAGCTGAAAAGAGATTCATAATTAAGCACAGTTGGTGTAATAATTAGGAGTCTGGCAATAGCATGGATTCAGACTGAGGTTGAACACTGACTGATATTTGTTTTGTGACCTTGGACAAGTCTCTTACCTCTGTGACCTTCAAAGGAAAAATTAAAACAAGAGTGAGAACTTTCAGTGGAGAAAAACCCTGCCTCCCCCCCATCTTACAGCTGTAGTAAATTAACTATAAAGTCTCAAAAATGCTGGTTAAAGACATGTCACATTTGTTGGGTTAAATGAGATTTGATTAAATAAGATCATGCATGTGGCAGGTACATAGTATCCTGGCTGTTGACGTGCCCAGCTGGCAGACGGTGAACTATCAAGAGTGTTGGTTCCCTCTCCCCGTTGCTTGTATCTTATTTTGTGCACAAGAGGTTTTAGCTGATGGGAGGGATAAATGGCTGCATACCTCAATAAACACTTAATGAACTGATTTACAGTGCTGAGTCTTTACACTCATGACCATCACCCTGGTGTGGTATCTTAACTGGGACAGTTTGTGTGGAAAATTAAAAATAATTTGAGTGTTGCCAATGCTATAGGATAATGCACTGGTTAAGACCAAAAATAAGAAGTATGTGCCTTTCATGATGTGAGTTACTGCCTGTCCCCTTTAGGAATGAATCCCAGCTTAAGTCTTTATCTCAACACCCAAATCTAGCAAGAATGCAAAGGTCATGGTGCCAGTTTAATCTGAAGCTTGTTTTCAGTGTCAGAGTCTTGGTTTTTAGGAAACAACTGTGGTTGCCATGGAACTGTTAATAATGATTGCTGCCTGTTACCTCAATTCCTCATACTCCCTGTCTCTAATACAAAATCACTTAGACTTGGGCTGTAGGGCAGTAAACAAACTTTCAAGCAAGAATTAACTGGGGTTGGGTATTCGTGTCTTAATGCAGGAAATGACTTTCATTTTAACCTTTGCTTACACTGGCAGATAGGTGCTATTAAAGGAGCTTCTGATTTCCTAATATTGGATTGAGACACACTGAAACTCGCTCTTCTGCATGAGCATTGCTAAAGGCAGGGAGAGTTATGGCTTTTATCATTCAATTAACATGAATTTTTTTTTTAATGTAGGACTGGTCTTAGCATGAGCCTTTTAGTTTTATGTATAAAAAAGAAATTCAAACATATGCTAGATTCCTAAGTGGAAAGAGGAAAATAGTTCTGTTGAAATATGTATGTCTATATATTTAAAAAATAAAATCTTGTGGAGAAAAATGACATTCTGGCTATATTTCTGTGAGATTTGTGATCCATGTAATAGACACTTCTTACTCTTGAATTATGTTTCTAAGATATGGATCTTAGTGCTGATTAATGTATAACCAGTCCTTGGGGGGAAACTAATCCAGTTCTTGAGCTCCAGGCACATAAAGTTAGGAATGGGTTATTGGACGGGTGGGGGCAAGGAGTTGGGGAAGAGAAGACATATCTAATTTGTGTACTTTGCAGTCTCATCAATATGCCAATAATTCAACAATACAGAATACATAACTTCCATTTCCACCACTGTTGCTCTCTTTAATCCACACAGTCTGTATCTCCCAACAACTATCTGGTATGATTTGCTTTGTTATTTGGCATTTTAATGTTTCTAATGTGGAATAAGAATAAGTGTGATGTCAGCAAAACCTAAAAGAGATTCTTGAGTGTAGTTTCCCCAAGACATATGATAGTGTATAGGAAGAAATGAAGGAAAATATTTTTGAAAAGGATATGTAAACATTACATTAGCCCTGGGTCCCCCAACTCTTTGCATTGGACCCTCCAATTCCTTAGCTGTAAGCAGAGACAGAAACTTCATAAACAGACAAGATTAGGACCCCCAAGTGAAATTAAATCTTCTACCAAGTATATGGTACTGCAGAAGACAAAGTTTTATCTGTGTGAATAAACTGAACATACAGTTCAGTACATTCATGTGTGCAGGGCTATTTAAGGCATTATAAGGTCTGGTATAAAACAATAAAAATGCAGATGGAACCATCAAATTCATCAAACTGCTGCAATAAATTCAGATGATCTCCAGAGCTGGCAAGGTGATGTCAAGAAAGTTAAACTTGAAGAATGAGACTTGGGTTTCTAAATGAGATCAGGGAAAAAAGAAAGCAGAGTTAATAGGGGAAATCAAGACTGAAACAATCACCATTATGGTTACATTTGAAGGAGAATTTAAAAATCAATTCTTTCTGCTTGTTCTAAAATTGTTCTGCAAAAAAAACTGACATGGTTATAATTTTTTTAATTTTTGGTTTATTTACTCTTTAACATAGCCAGTGTTAGTTCAGCAACTCAGTATTTGGTACATTATTGCAAAAGAAGGACATAGGTAATATCATCGATACATTTGTGAATTCTATCACTATGATAAGACAAAGAATAGTTAATTAATATTGCCTTAGATTACCTGTATTTGTGAGGTTACTTACAGTGGTACTTCCTATAGGTAGGGAATTTCTCTCTGGTATAACTATCTTTAAACTATAATTTAATATTAAAGATTAGCATTCTGCAATTAAGAACACATAAAGCAGTATTTTAATAATATGGGCAATAGGAAAAATCAACGTCTGAATAAATGTGCACATATAAACTCTAAATGCTTTAAGAGGAAACATATTAATATTCTGTGAAATTAATATGTAAATACAATATATGACCTGGAATGAAATTACCATAATGTACAAAAAGGAAGACAGAACCCTTCTCTTTCCAAACTTATTGATCTTAACATGTCATAAACCTACATTACATCATTTGGAATGTGATGGTTATTTCAAATTTAGAAAATACTATATTAAAGAATAGTATGATCCATCCAACTTCCCACAAAAAGTGGTACATATTAATTTTGAAAATTTATGTTCAGTCAAAGGTTAACAAGACAGCATGTTTTCAATTGTCTCAAATATTTGTAGTATCTTACTTATTAATAAAAAACTGTTACTTTAACACAGTAAGGTATTTTTTGCATTGCTTGAAAAGATTAGAAAATAAAAATATTAAAGATATAACATTAAGGAGTGAAATGATTGAACTAATGTGGTAAATATTTTATTTTTATGCACATAATGCTTTTTCTTTGCCTTTATTCTTTTTGACATTCTTTATTTCCTGTATCTCTTGTTTCCAACTTCTTAGTTTTCTTTTTCTAATATTCCTGCCTTTATATAATCTAGTTCATTAGCTGAATATTGTCATCTTTCAATTTTTCCATCATTTCCATCCAACAAAGTAATGGTTTCCATTAAGTCAAGCACCAACTGAACTTTCTCTTTTCCCTTTTTAAAAATGTTTGCTTCAAAAAAATAGTCCAGCCTCTAGCTTAAATATGTATGTATATTATATATCATACACTCAAAGAATACTTAGAGTTCTGTAGAAATTCAAGGTATGACTGGTACACTATTTAGCAAGCTTATGGAATGACAAAAAATGAATCACATTTCATGACTAGTATCTTAGGTAGCCTCTGGTATTTCTGTCTAAGCCAAATGGATCACAGTCTCATAACTGCTCCATTCCTTCTTCGGAGCAATTCTGGAACAACTCTAGAGAGAGAAAACCCAAGGGCAAACTGGAAGTGGCGCCCCTGACAGGTTGCCTTCATGGCAAACCTTGGTCACCTGTACACTATGTAGTGAGCTACTACTGCCTGGACACTCACAGGAGGGACTGGACAGCAGATGTGCTGGACAGAGCTGGCTTTCCGGCGCTGGCTTTCCGTTGCCCCTGCACTGAGTACGCAGGCTGGTGCAGCGCCCCGGACTCAGGCGGTCTGGTCGACCTGCAGCACCGCAGGCTGCACGGGCTCCTCATCGGACCTTTCTGCCTCCTCGGAGGTCAGCGTGTAGCCTCCCTCATAGCTCACCTTCTGCGCCTGTTCCATGAGCATCGACTCCTCTTCTTCATCTTCCGCAATAGTCAAGTTGATGTTGCTGTCCATGGCAGAGCTGCTGCCTCTGGAGGCCACCCGCCCCGCATCCCCCTCAGCCACCTCCCCCTCCACTGCAGTGGGGGGTGACGCCTCGGAGAGGCCCTCCTCAATGGCGCGCTCCTCCTGGTCCTTGGGCGCCAGCTCACTGCCTGCCATGTCTTCTGACTTGGTCTCATTTTCTGCAGGGCTCTCTCCCTCTCGGACTTTCTTTCGACCGAAAGAGAGCGGAGAAACTTTGAAAGGGGAGCTTTTTCCTGAAGTTATTTTCTGGTGATTGGAAGTGAGAGATTTCTTAATCTTCTCTCTCCTCTCTACAGATACGATCTTTGTTCCCAGTTTGTTCATCTTTTTCTCGATATTCTGGCGAGAAAATGCTTTCTTGAGGCTATCCACTTTTCGGAGGCTGGATCTTTTGATCTTCTCTGCCCTACTTTCTTCTATCTTTTCCTCTGCACTGTCTTCCTCATCGGGGGGCAATTCATCATCGGAGGAGAGGTCCACTGTTTGCAAGCCTTCCTCCAGGGACTTGTTTTCATCAGCAGTCTCCTCCTTCCCTTCAGCTGGGCTGGAAACTGGCTCTTTCACAAACACGCTGGCAGGGATCTCATTTTCTTCCTAAAAAAGATGGGCAATGTAGATTTCATGTTAATGACACATTTCACGAGCAGTCCTAAAGTGCTGTAATTTGCCTGTGTGTGCTTTTGGCACATGGGAATGATAAAAACCAAATGTTTGTGGCTGCTGTTTTCTAGAGTGTTTGGAATTAGTTCTAATCTGGTCAAGCCATTCCTCCTAGGCTGGATCTGGCCACGCGCTGCCTGTTGGGAATGTTCTGAAGGCAGCAGCAAGAGCTCTATCAGTGTCAGGCAGGGGGAAGTGGACTGTGACTCAGACCAGGAAATGCTCTAGATAAAGGAGTTAAAGGAAGTTGCTGTGAACCTAGAGCCACTCTCTTTCTGACCCTCCTAGGTCAGAGGGCTCTGTTCCTCCATAACCTCACTGCAAAAACCCTGGAGTTCAAGTTGGTAGTGAAAAGATGGGGCAGAGGAGAGAATTGGGGCTTTTTCACTTGTCAGGCCCCTGTAAAGCTTTAATCAGATTCCCTGCTCATCGAGAAGTCAGACAACCTTGGTTGAAAGGTGCATATGAATTTTTTTTTGATGATGATGATGACATAATTTTAGAGTATGAGACCTAAGGGTCAGCCTTACTGGGTACTCACTCAGGAAGCCTTGTGGGGTCAGCCACCCTTGGTGGGCATTCATAAGGAAGGAGAACACTGTAGCTAGTTTTAGAGTTATGAGGAGTCAGGCTGCCAGGCATAATTTTTTCTAAAGCCTCAGGGCTCCCTTGAACTAGAATACTTTAGCCACACCTAGAGCTAGGTGTGAGGACAGAAGCTTGGGAGTCTGCCCAGCCCTCCTCACTCTGTCCTGCACAACTCTTCCTCCCTTGCTAGGTACACGGCTAAGACTGCCTTTCGAGTATGCTGGAGCACAGCCTGAGACTTGCATAGCGTGCGAGGGAGATGGCTCTCTGAGGGAATAGAGAGCTAACTGGCATACAGGCGTTGGCTGGCAATGGCTGGTTCTAAGACTGAGGTTGGGTGCTTGAGGGAGCAGAAAGTTGACAGGCAGAGGCTGGTAACTACAAGAGGCATATAGACACCCAGGAGCTGTGGTGGCTTCATACCTTCGGGTGACCAAAAGGGGTGAAGAGACAAAGTAGGGCTGTGGGCAGTGGGAAAGTACCCCGAAGAAGGAAAAGCCCCCTAGGTGTGGAGAGTCCCCAGAAGTCTTATAAAATGGAACCCAGCACCCTAACTCCAGACTTCTCCCTTAGACGTCCTCCTGCTGTCAGGAGTCTCTCTTGCAATAAACCTGAGCTTGCTAATCTTCAGTTGGATGTTTGGGTGAGTATTCCTCAATCATTTGGACACAAGAATTCACCTGTTCAGCAACCTTTCCCGTATTGATTGCTGAGTAAGCAGACTTGAAGTCAGAAAGACTCAGGTCACACAGCATCTCTTACCTTTTATTTATTTATTTTTTAAGATTTATTTATTGCTGCATACAGAACAGGGGTACATGCCAGAGGTGCAGGGGCGGTGAGAGGATTCACCAGAGACAGAGTGGGGAGCAGAACAGGCCAACTGATGAAGTACACTGCCGAGAGGGGCAGTGTGTGGGTCAGGAGAGGTCTGCGCGCCATGTGGGTCACCTCCGGGGCGGGCATTGAACTCATGCTGAAGAGGCTTTAGCTTCTCAGTGCTGTGCTTTAATGGGCTCCACCACCAGGGAGGGCCCTCTTGACTTTTATTTTTATATTGCTTTCAATATTGAAAAACAAGGGCCAGTGTGCAAAGTGCCTTCCCTTTTTTTTTTCCACCCAATTTTCATTGGGAGAAATGGCATCGTAGAAAGAACCAGGATCAGGCAGCCCGAGTCTATCTTTGCTGCACTGCTAACTGTCTGTGTGGCTGTCAGCAAATAACTTAATCTTTTTGGGTCTCAGTTTCTTCCAAATATGAACAAGAGGATTTGACCTAGATTACAGCTTTCAAACTGTACTCCCAGGGGCATGAGGGGTTCTTTGAGGATGCTGAGGTGGACCATGCTCCAGAGTTTATTTCACCCTGTTTCAACCACAGTCTCATTATCTGATCATGGACTGCCCAGCAAATTTTCAGCTTGAAAAAGAACTAGATGTAGTGAGCTTAAAAGTCTACTTAGAATCTAAACTTCCTGCAAAGTTCATGCTAATGAGAAGAACTTTACTTATTGTCTGGCAAATCCGATTGACCAAGACGTCAGTGAAAGTGGAGTCATAACCAAAAACACAACCCAAGAGTGTTCTATATCTTTCCAACTTCCTGATACAAAGACACAATGGACAAAGTTTTGATACAGAAGAAATTAAACATCCTTCTCTTTCTTAGTCATTGAGTGGTATAATTGTGCGACCCTTTGACAGGGCTTATCCTGGTGTCTCCTTGTGCACACAGACTCCTATCAGAGTATTTCTACACACTGGTAAGAAACACATGATAACATCTAGGGTAGCAGTAAAACATGGAAAGGCTGGTTAAAGGTAAGAAATCAGAATCTGTTTCCAAAGCTTTCTCTACAGCCTCCCAATTTGAATGTCACAGGAGGTGTCAGAATATCAGTGGAAAAGGAAAAGTAATGACTTGGAGGAGCCCAGGGTTCCCACTGGCAATCATGACACGGCCTTTTACAAAGAACAGTTTTCCACAGTGCAGAGTGAGGGTGCGCTGGCTCGCTCCATGTGCTCCCCAAGAGGAGGAGGATTTTTGTCTCATGCTCACTGCTATACCTCAGAGACTAGAATAGTTCCTAGTAGTTCAACCCCTTGTTGAGTGAGTGCATCTCAGGTAAGGTGGCTTTCTAAGACATCCCTGAGGGTGGCTGAATGGAGATGGCCCCTCTGGTGGGTCGGCATGAAGATGCCAAGTATGTGCTTAGCTCTACACGTACAAGGAACTCTGCCGACTGCCACCGGGTTATGGGAAGAGCCCAAGGCCTCAGGGGTATGTAGCTTCTGTTTCCCAAAGGATTTATTCTCCATGGGTGAGTATTACTGAGAGAGAAACCAGCTGTAGGAAGACCTAGGCCTCTGATGCTTAAGCCAAAAGGACTGTTACTACTGGGATTTGCAAGAGGGTTGGAAAGGTTTGTCAGGAATGGCTTACAGGAAAGGAAGAAACCAAGAACCTTGTGAAATGTTATGAAAATCCCTCAAAGAAGGAGGCAGACATTTAGATGAAAAACTGTGAAGTAAAGATGTGGGTACCACAGAAGAGGTACATTTTGTGAAGTAGAATCTCTTGGGTTAAGCAAAAGATTATTGTGGCCTCCCTGGTGGCGCAGCGGGTTAAAGCACAGCACTGAGAATCTGAAGCCACTTCCGTATGAGTTCGATTCCCGCCTGCCGCCTGCCCCGGAGGAGACCACATGGCGAGCCAGACCTCTCCTGACCCGCCCGCTGCTCCTCTCAGCAGTGTACTTCGTCGATCTGCCTGTTCTGCTCCCCACTCTGTCTCTGGTGAAGCCTCTCACCGCCCCTGAGCCTCTGGCCTGTACCCCAGTTCTGTATGAATAAATAAATAAATCTTTAAAAAAAAAAAAAAAGATTATTGTGACCTCTTCGCTTTTTTCAATGTCAACAAAAGGCAGACACATCATCTATACTTCTAAGAGAATTAAACAAAGAGTATTAAACCAGTAACATATTTTTTCTTCATTGTGAGCTTTATTATTATAAAAGTATCATTACTGTGAGCCTTAGACCTGTTTGTCTCTCATTTTGTGTCCTCGAAAGACAGGTTTGAGAAAAGTTCATTCTCAGGTGAACCAGGTCTTCGGTGGATACCTACTGCTTATCTGAGGGAGGGTGAGGGAGGGTGGGAAGCCCAGTTGAACTCTTGTGTCCAATACCAGGGAAATTTATACCAGAGCTCTTTGATAACTAACTACTGCGAAAATAAACACAGCAGGAACAGAGATAATCTAGGATGAGTTGGATGTGTCTTTATACAACTGAAAACACGCGTGGTACGTCTTCTTGGCTCACTGCTATGCTTCAGTTGTCCTCTTAATTACACCGGTGTCATCCTGTGTTCTTTTGACTGGATGGTGTTCTTTTGACTGAATGGCATCCATTCTGAAGGTAAACCCCTTCTTTTCACATAGGTTATTTGTGAATGTCAAGCACATTTTATTTTTCCCAAATGTTTGTTTAAAAGTAGAAAGACACAAGACACTCTTTAAAAATTTCTATTCTTTAGTAAAACATGCTATGAGGTAGCTCTAATGGTGATGGACATTCAATTTCAAGCTCACTGGCCTCCAGCACCCAGTCCCACATGTACACATGTTCTTTTTCAGTTCTCTTACACCTGATGGGAACAATTGATATTTCATCTGCCTACAGGTGAGGTGACTCTTCTGCCTTTACTTTCCTATTTAATGCTTTTGATCTGCTTTCTCTTCCCGATTCCAACACTGATGGCTCTTTCAAGTGAGACCCTCAGTTCTGTCACTGCTTACTAAGGCTATTTACCCAAATGTCGATTTAGGATTTGCGACTCCTTCCCATGGTGTTAAGATTCTCCTGTGGGCCTGTTTCCTTGGGATGTGGTCCCAATAGAGGGTCCCCGAAGTAGTTGACTATTCATCTTAAAGTTTTATTTTCAAAATGGTACTAAGCCTCCACTGATGCAGCTGCTCAGGAGGAAGGGAGAATTAAACAACACCTTTCAAACACATAACATGTATGAGTGATATGCTTGTGACGTAAAAGAGAAAAGAAATGGAAGGACTTAAGAAGTGGTACTTGAGCTTGCTTGCTGTTTGCATTGATTTCTGTGAACTGATAATCCCAGTTGTATGTGTAGATATCAACACACAGAAACTTGCCCACAGGTTGGATATTTCCTGGGCTGGAGATCACTGGAAGCAAATCTTTGCACATACACAAATATGTACGCTTTAAAAGAGAAAGAGAGGAGACTGACTTGCATTAGAAAAGGAAACCTACAGTAATTCTTTTAAAAGTTATAGTAAGGAGAGGCCAGTGGTTTGTTCTGTGTTCAC